ACCAGTTGTTCCCTGGGAACCTATAGATTTACAGCCTCAGACAGCCCTCTGGGTTAATTAGGCTTAGCAGGTTTTCAAAAGACCACAAACAGCTTTTCAGCCTCCCCTTACTACTTAGGGGAGAGAAAACTGTGGGCAAGAACAATTGATCTCCATTTGTCCTGTGTGTTAAATAAGGTTGCTGTGAGCAGCTGGTGCTTTCCCATGAAATTCAGACCCTGTCATAATAACTCGTCCATAAACAGCCTCTTGCCGGCAGTGTTCATTCTCCTGGTGTCTATACTGGGGACCTGACCTACTCAGATGAAGTGGGAGTGTCTGCTTTGGTGGGAAGTCTGAATTCCAGAATTCTCTTACATGGTTTTTTAGTTACGTGATGTTTTCATGGTGTTGTGGCACCCAGGCCAGTGCTCAGTGGTGGTGATCCAAGTCACTTTGACCTGCACACATAGGTACACCCATGGCTCAGCTCAGCAGCACCCCCAGTGGGCTCACACGTGTGCCAGTCACCAGACGTCCATGGCCGAATGCCCAAGATGATCATCAGAACCATCTTGAAATTGTTCCTTCCAAAGGTTTTGGCAAAACAGTTAAAATGTCAAAATGGTACAGTTGCCTCAAGGCCTCTTTTGATAGAATCAGAGCATAGATAAATTATATGCTTCTCTGCCTTTCCAATAGCTCCCCGTATTCACCCCTCTCTATCTGCAATGTCCCCGTCTTTACTGGTCTTCATGCTCCAGGCAGCTTTATCTCTCCCGCTTGGTCAAACCCCCAACTTCACCTGCCAACCCCTTCCCAGGCCTCCCGTCCCTAAGAGCCCAGACTCCAGAGTTGGGCAGAGTATCAAAGAGCAGAGGATTGCTCAGAACTTTCTCTCACAGAAGACACCTTTTGCAGGGAAGGGAGGAGGAAGTCGTGTTTTTAGAAAAGCCCAAGTGAGGACCTACAACAGATTCCAGAGGGACAGTGCTAGACTAGAATTCCGAACCTCCTTTTCATAGGTGCTGGTCTTTCCTCATTTACCTTAAGGTCATCCTGGGAAGATCAAAGTCAGATTTTAACTAAATTAATAATTTCACATGCTAGAGGAAAATCTCAAATCTGGGGAGGATGGATCAAAAAACGATGGGATGGAAAAGTTCCTGCTTCTAAAGAGAAAGCCTTCTATTTTCCAAACTCACGTGATTGTATTCCCTTTCTTCTTTCTCAAACATTGACTTCGGAGTTTAAAGATTCCAAGGCTGGGTATGAATCCTGCTGAAGAGAAAAGGGGACTTGGATGTATGAATTAGACGGAAGGTACTAGAAACGTTAGGTAAATTATTTAGAGGGGTAGAGGATATGGGGGCACCACACTTAAGGTGATTTGAAGGATCCTAAGAAAATTACCCCCTACCTAAAGTCTTTCAGCAGCTTGTTCCAGTGTTCATAATTTATTCATTACACTCTGTCTTTGGATGACCTTAGAAAGTTGAGTGTCCAGGAAGGAATAAAGTAACCTGTCAGGCAGTTCCTTTAAGGTGTCAGGGTCTTATTTATTGCTGGGAAGCTGAGAGAGGGCAGGGGGATGGGGCAGAACTGAAGATAAACTCTTGCTTTGTCGTTTTGCAGAGCATGGGCGATGCAGAGGTAGTAAAATCCACTCAGCCCCAGGCCCCTTTCAAGGTTCTCAGAGCTTCCATGAGAGTACGGAGGGGAAAGGCATTGTGGTCTTTACTCTGAATCAGTGAGCCTGCCTATTTGGTGCTGGAAAAATGGTCTCTACATACAACTTAGCAGCTTTTCAGATTTGAACCTCTTTAGTTTAAATCTCTGCTGGATTGATGGTGCATGTCCAGGAGGCCTGGGACAACTTGGTTGTGAGATGAATGTTTCTGTATTTCCAAGCTGATGTTTTGTCCCTGCACCAGATTGGTACTGCTAGGATGTCATGCTCCCTTCGTCCCTAGAACTCTTCCTGGGAAACGAGCATTCACAGTTCTTAGCATGTGGGGCCAGATGCAGTAGCTCACACCTATAATCCTAGTACTCTGGGAGGCCGAGGTGGGAGGATCTCTTGAGCTCAGGAGTTCAAGATCAGCCTGAGCAAGAGTGAGACCCACATCTCTACAAAATAGAAAAAAACTAGCCAGGTGTTATGGTGGGTGCCTATAGTCCCAACTACTGGGGACACTGAGGCAAGGGGATCTCCTAAGCCCAAGACTTTGAGGTTGTTGTGAGCTGTGACGCCATGGTACTTTACCCAGAGTGACAAAGTGAGACTATCTCCAAAAAAAAAAAATAAAAAATAAAAAGTATCATACACAGTTCTTGGAATGAGAAAGTGACAGAGATGATCCATCTTAACACCCTTGCCTTACAGATGAGGAAACTACTAACGCACAAGGTTGATAATGGTCCCAAGAGTAGAGCTGCACCGTGGGGGGTGGTACCAGCTTTGGAATTGGATGGACTTGGATCCACCACTGAGGAGCTGTGTGAACTGGGGCGAGCTAATATTTTTGAGCTGCCAGTTTCTTCTTCTGTTAAGACAATTCGTAGGGAAATACATTCTGTAAAGCACCTGCTGGAAGAATAAACTCAAAACTTGCCCAGTATTATTCTGTTGGTTATTTTTTTAATCAATACACATAACATAAAACTGACCATTTTATAGTGTACAATTCAATGAGTTTTAACACATGCTGTGTATTTTTGCAACCATTACTACTATCCAATTCCAGAACATTTCAAGTCATTCCCCTAAAACCCTATACCACTTAGCAGTTAATCCCAGTCCTCCTGTTCCCCATCCTCGACACCCACTGACCTTTCTGTCTCAGTGGGTTTCCTATTCTGGACATGTCGTGTAAATGGAATCACACACTGTGTAGCCCCTGTGGTCTGACTTCTTTGACTCTGCACGACCTTTCTACATTTCACCCATGTCGTAGCCTGTAATACATTCCATTATATGGATATACCACAATTTCTCCGTTTGTCAGTCAATAAAATTTAGATGTAATTACCGTTTTTTTACACAGCTGGGCTGAAGCCAGAATGAGGAGTTAGGTGTTGGAAGTCTTAGTCTGGTCCTGTTTTTACTGTCCAGCACTCAGATGTTTTTCATAAAATCTGAACCTTATGCATTATTTTTTTAAAGTAAGGAAAACCTTACAACCTGCTTGCCCAACTCTTGGGATTTTAAACCTTTATGCAAATTTTTCCAGCATGGATACAAAAATGAAGTCTAAACATTATAGAAAATTTGTGCTGAGAGCCAGGTTTAATTTTCATTTTCTAGATTCCTGTGAATGGTCTTCATGCCTCTTCCCCCTCTGTGTTTCAAGGACAGCCTGGGGCCCATCTTTAATGTGCAAGTTCACGACCATGGTGGAGCGCCCACAATCAAAGCAAATTTTTTATTAAGTTTGGCTGATGTGTGAGTACCTTTCTTTTTTGTTCACTTTATTCCGTGGCAAAACTTCAGAATTATTCTTCCTCTAGACATTGGCTGTCGTTGCATTGAACCTGGCCCTTAGGTGTGGGGAATGCAGGCCTGTGAGCCAGAATGTTAAGAGGCGTTTCCAACACCTGCTTCCCCTTCTCCTGCCTCTCACTGCTGCTGTCCAAAGGGAAGCTCATTAGGAGATGAGAGGAGTGTTATGACAGGCCTCCTTCAGCTCTCAGGCCTGATTTCCCTGCTGACAAGCTCACACAATGACATCTTAATGTCTGTTTACCTGCAGTCCTCATTTCCTTACAGGCAGCCTTGCGTGTAGCCCTGGGCTTTCTCCTTACTGATGGGGGAAGACTGGAAGCAGCTCTGATTTGTGAGGAATTTGGTTGTTGACACCCTTCGCTTGGGAGCCAGTGATGTGTAGAATATGGCAAGATTCCAGTGGTGAAGGCATTTCCCTGGGTTCATCAAGCATTTGTGCTTCTTATCTCCCGTAGCTTGAGTGGAGGATCCAGCCGGGCCTGGTTTCCTGTCTTTGGGCAAGTGTTTTCTTTGCTAAAGCTTTGATGATCTGGTCCTGAATACCACTAATGACTCCATTTGATGCTCTATTTTCTGGTTCTTAAAGACCTAGAGTAGTTATTGTGTCACACTTCACTTACATTATCTCCTTTATAGCATTTCCTGCTTCTAAATATTTGCCAGCCACAAATATATGAAAAAAGCAACTCACCCTGATATGTCTCCTCCATGCTGAGTGTCCCGTAATCCTCCAAGTTTTCCTGGTGGACATGATTGAACCCAGGAACCCAACAGCCTTCTCTTTCCTGTTTCCCCTATTCTGTGTATTTCTCTCTTTGTCCATGTTCCTCTGAATAAGATGCCCAGACTGGAAATGATACTCTCTATGTGCTACAAAAAGCCCAAGCTAGGACTGTTACCAAGAAGTGAGCCTGGTATTCATTCATGCACCACGGTGTATGGTTGCCAGCACCTGCTTAGCCGGCTATGATTTAATACCAAGGAACACCGTTCGCCCTCCTACTCAGTATCTTTTTCCAGTTTGACTGCTGTGAGGCAGAGGCTGTTGTGCTGATTATTTGATCCTAAGAGCAGAATTGTACATTTCTCCCAATCCATTGTACCCATTCTCGGCCTGGGGACTTGTAGTGTTATCCCATCAGAACTACATGGATGGGAGTCTAACATAATTCCAATGCAAGAAATCATTGAAGATGTGGAGAAGAATTTTATTTTCTTAATGCTATGTTAGGATTGGCTCTTGTCCTAGAAAAAAAAATCCTTCTCTAATTCCTGATCCTTTAGTTCTTAGTAATTTCTAGTTCATGGAGTTCTTTTGTTTAGTTGGGGGGCGGGTTGGAGGTAATTTTTAGCATCAGCAATTATATAGATTAAAAGAATGAATTGAGTTTTGAGCCTCGGTCCCATCCCCAGACACATAGTCGCGTGAATTCTGAGGGCCTTTGAATGTGTCCATCACCATGCTGTCCAGGAAGGGTGTTTGAGGTTCTAACTGGCACCTGTCTGTCTGTTGCAGTTACCTGGCTGAGCAGTGCTGGAATGGCGGCTTCATCTACCTGATCATGCTGCGTCGCTTTAAACAGAAAGCCCATTCTACTTATAATGGCAACAGTAGCAACAGCTCTGAACCAGGAGAGACACCTACCTTGGAGCTGGGTGACCAAACTGCAAAAAAGGGGAGAAGATCAAGGAAGTTCGCGGTCATTTCCAGGTCCCCTTCCAACAAGGCCCCTGAAGACTTCAAGAGCAGTGCTGGCACTGAGCTTACCAGTGACCACAGCACTGAGCTGGAAAACGGCCCAGACCCTGAACTTGGAAATGGGCATGCCTTTCAGCTAGAAAATGGACCCCATCTAGAGAAGTCAGAACTGGCCAGTGGGACAGAGCATGGAGTTCCAAAGACAGATGCTCCCCTGACCACAAGCAACGACAAACGCCGCTTCTCCAAAGCTGGGAAGACGGACTTCCAATCAAGTGATTGCCTGACACGGGTAAGCTTTGGCTTGATCGCAGAATCGGAATTTTAAAAGAAATACTGTTCGAAGTTGCTTTTCAGGTTTAGAAAATATATCTAAGATGACCTTGCATTTAGAAGCCAACAATTTCATTAAGATAAATGATGAAAAGACAGCAACAAAAAACTCAAGTCATTTGATCCTACTTAAATAAAGAGCTAGTTGAGTGGTCGTAAGTGGAAAATTCAAGCCTTCTGTGCTAAAATTTGAGTCATATGAGGCCCAGATAAAGTACTTAGATGCATCATTATTTATCACTGCTGTCACCAGTGGAATTGCTGCTTCAAGGCCAAGAATTCCTGACGGCAGTTGATAGCACAAACATCCAAGCTCAGTATTATACAGGAAGTGTAGCTAGCATTCAGGGAAGCATCTGCTTTTATTTTTAGCAGTTCAAAACAAGTGACATTTTTATGGGATCACATTATTACATTGGTGAATTCCAGTGAAGTTTGGAAGCTTCACGGAAATCTCCAGTAGTGTGACAGCCAGTTGTGATGGTCCAGGTTGGTCTTACCATGTCTGCTTTGCCTTTAGGTATATTCTGAATGGTAATAGATGAGCTTCTAGCCTCAAGTGGTCTCCCCCATTATAACCAACGTTCTCTCCTAGGAGATTTACTTTTCTTGCTCAATCTAATAGTCCCCTTGTCAGATATCCCTATGGGCCCCACAGGAAGCAGTAACTTCCTAAAGTAGGTGCTGATGGCTTTTTCTCTAACTCAGGAGACACCCTTTAGGAATGAAAGAGAAGCTGGAAAGGCAGAAAATAGGCATAGAAGTATCAAGTTCAGTGTTGCCTGCTGGTGCCCTGGGAGTAAATATAATTTCTAGTAAGGCTGTTTCATGAGTATTTCTGCAGTGTTACACAATCTGTATGGTAGGTTGAAAAGAATCAAAATGGCCCCTCTTGACAGAACATGTAATCTCACTTGGGAAGCTGGGTGATCTTCATAAACCCTTACAAAGAGAAGATGTTATTTGTAAATGGAATGTGCAAACAAGTGGGAAAAAGTTGTGATGTCTCTATCAATGATTTTCTTCTGATTGTATGGATCTCCCACCAAAAGGATTAAGGACCAAAGGGGGGAAAAATCATAATCTACACCTCCTCTAAATTAAGGGCAATAAAAATATTATATAGGCCAGGCGCAGTGGCTCATGCATATAATCTTAGCACTCTGGGAGGCTGAGGCGGGTAGATTGCCTGAGCTCAGGAGTTCAAGACCATCCTGAGAAAGAGTGAGACCCTGTCCATCTCTAAAAATAGCCAGGTGTTGTGGCAGGTGCGTATAGTCCCAGTTACTTGGGAGGCTGAGGCAAGAGGATCACTTGTGCCCAAGACTTTGAGGTTGCTGTAAACTATTATGCCATGGCACTCTACTGAAGGCGACAAAGTAAAACTGTCTCCAAAAAAATATATTGTGTTTATGAGTTAATATTTCTTCATATGATTTCTTCCCTAATGATTAGATTGTGAATACACAGAAAGCCTAAGGTGAAAAGAATAAGATCAAGGATATTGGCTCCCTTAATCATTTTGAAGGTTTAGGGCACCTAAGACAGTTGAATTTCACGTACAGATCAGAGAACAGGCTTTCATTTGGGCTAGGACACGGTAGAAGCAATTTGGGATAATTTTAAAGAAAAACAACTTCTAAGAGAGTACTCATCCTCTGCTCGTGTTAATTAAAAGTAATAATCAAATTCAGGTAATAAATAGAATTAATTAAAATCTAGTTTCTGGGTTAGTCTGTCTAAAGATCACACATAGCAGAGTTCCTTTGCCTCATTTTTGTGCTCAAGGTCAGGTGTCTAATAAGGTATAAATGAAAAGTGACGTGGGTCATATTTTTTGTCTTGAGTGGTCAGAATGGAACGTACACCCTCCCAGGTGTGAATATGTTGGCATCCTTTGCAACCCCAAAGTGTCTTCATTCACTGCATCTGCCCAGGGTTGACGGGGTCGGGGAGAAGCCAGTCTGCACGGCTTCCTTTCTGGCCCACTGGCGCCCAGTGGAACCAAGAGACTTTCACGCAAAGGTTGCTGAGGATCCTGGGCGAGAGTGGATTTATACTTTTACTCCAGAAATAGTTGGGACCAAGGTCATGCTAAAATGGAATTTCCAGAAAAACATAAATTAGCTATTTACCTGTTACGCCTTTGGGGGGAAACTCCGTTGCATTTGAATAATGGGGGATTGAACATGCCAGTGTTGTTCTGTTTCTGCTTTATTAATGATTTCATATACCTGCAAAGAGTTAATCAATTACCGAAAAAGCTGGCTCAGCACCTGTGGCTCAAGCGGCTAAGGCACCAGCCACATACACCTAAGGTGGCGGGTTCAAATCCCCAGCCCGGGCCCGCCAAACAACAATCATGGCTGCAACCAAAAAAATGGCTGGGCGTTGTGGCGGGCGCCTGTAGTCCCAGCTACTTGGGAGGCTGAGACAGGAGACTCACTTGAGCCCAGGAGTTGGAGGTTGCTGTGAGCTGTGATGCCATGGCACTCTACCCAGGGGAATAGCTTGAGGCCCTGTCTCAAAAAAAAAAAAAAATTACAGAAAAAGCTTATAATAGGATCATTCAGACCATTCCTGCTTGTCAGGTACTTGTTTTTCATATACTATTATTCTAAGAAAATACTGCATTAAAATAAATCATCAGTCCTTGTTTTTCTATTCTGTCCTCCCTTGACAGAACAATAGGAAACAGATTTCCTTTAAACAAATTTGTCTTTTAAAAAACGGGATGTTTCCATAAAGTATTAACAAAAAATGATACATATATACAAGCAGATGGATTTTTTAAAATATGGATGTTGGATTCATTTTCTGAAACATAAGACTCTCTTAGGACACAGATCAACAAGTTTGGACATGAGTTCAGAGTTTCTTATTACTTTTCTAGCAAAGATCATCGCTCATTCAAGGTGACAGTTTTTGAAAGTCTTTTAACATAAAATGTGTATTTTTGTAATGCTGCAATGAATACAACCAAACATAATCATTTAACAACAACAACAAAAAGAATCCTTTCATTTGCCAGGAAGGCGAGTTTATTCACAACTGGCATGTGTGTGTCTGTGCATTTGTGGTCTAAACCTCATAATCGTCACCCACCCTATACAGTAGCAGCCTTTTCCCTATGCCTTCTCTGGAAGGGCTCAGCAGAGGCTTCATGAAGGCCATCCCAGATCTGAATCTGCAGAAAAGGATGGAAAACTTGAGAGTCACACTTAGAACATCTCCCGGGTGGTTCCTGATGTTTGCATCAGAGAAAAGATGAAAAGATCCTCTTCCAGGAAGCCCCCTTGGTTACTGAGTGAACTTACCTTGTCCTACATGGTAACATCTCTTAAGTCCATGTCTGAGCCTTCCCTATTGTCCTGAGCCCTCAAGCTTTATGCCAAGTGCCTGCAGGATGTCACCATCTGGGGTATTTGAGATGATGCCTGAAACTCATTGCTTCCCTTCCCCCCCCCCCCACCAGACCCACTCCCATGTTATAGGTCTCAGAAGTTTCAGGAGATTCAACTGTGGTAACCAACCATCCTGACTGGTCCAGAACTTTCCCCGGTTTCTCACTGAAAATCTTGGGACCCCCTTTATTCTGGGCAACCTGGGCCACTTGATCATCCTGGCATCAACAGAAATGCTGCCTTCTTCCTGACTCCATGCCCAGTCAGTCACCAAGTGCTATCCACTCCAGCTCCCTGCCAGACCTCTCAGCTCAGCCTACCTGTCTTTTCCCTGCTCCCACAGTCTCAGGTCAGGGCCAGGCTGCTCTTGCTTCTCCCCCGGGCTGTCACAGTCCTCCCCTACTTGTCTCATTGCACCAGTGCCATCCCATGCACCCACTGTCTCCACTGCAAACAGCGTGACCTTTCAGCAGAGCAGATCTCATGACTCACGAACGCAGTGCACATTCACACATGTCCAAGTGTGCACTATTGTGTAAAGCCTTTAGGTGGATCTGCTTCCCCTTCAGTGGACACACAAACATGTTGGCGTGCCATTTGAGGCCCTTCATTCTGGGATCCCTCCTTAACTTCCTGCCTTCATCTTTCACTGCTTTGCTTTGCTTTGTCTCCCCTTACTGGTTTATTATACAGGGTGGCCATATTTAAATTGCACATAAACTTTATGGCCACCCTGTATAATAAAGAATACAGGTAAAGAGATACTTAGGGCAAGGCCCAGAAGGGTCCCCGAGAAGCTGGGGAGGGCACTACCCTCCTGGCACAGGTGTGCATTCCTACGCTTTAGGGCCTTTCATGGAGGCTTCATGCTTTATTCATGAGGGATTATTAACTCAAGCTCCAGCCCGTCGCCCCTCCCTGGAGGATGGAGATGAGGTGGGAAGTTCCAGAGTGCTCATGGTTTGCTGTTGCTGGCAGCCAGCCCCTGTCCCGAAGCTGTCCAGGAGGCCAGGTTTCTTGTGACTTTTTCCTCCTCCCCAACTTGGGTTGAACTTGCTGCAGGTTTTGCAAAGGCCATGCTCCCTCTTGCCCTCAGCCTTTTGTGGATGCTGCTCGCCCACTCAGCTTCTTTCCCCCTTTCCTTCATAGCTGAGCAGCTGCCCTTCCTGGGGGTCTAGGCACCAAGACGTCCTCCTCCAGGAGGCCTGGGTGACATTTCTGCCACCTGAGGCAGCGTTAGGTGTCCCCTTTGTGAGCTCCTGCAATTCCTGCTGGTCTTCCTCAAAGCTCACACAGCCCAGTTACCATTCGGCTTGCTGTGTCCCCATCAAGGGCAGGGCCTTCTTTGTCTTTCTGTCTTTCTGTCACCCATCCTCACTTAGAACCTTGTGCCTGTAGAAGCTCCGTGGATATTTACTAATGAAGGTGCCCAAGAGATCCAGGCCTGGGAGATGGGACCCCAGACTCTAGTTCCCACTCTTCCATCCCCAGCCCTATGGCCCTGTGGCTGCCAGGGCCTTTCTCTGGGCTTCTGTTTTCTCACCTGCATTTTGGT